ACATTGAGCACTGTTCACTCCTTCCCAAAGGGCCTTCAAAGTATCTTTCTTGTCTTACATTAATTCACCACCAAGTGGTACAGAGCCAGCCAGACTATCTGCCTGCTCATTTCCCAACACACCTCATATCGTGGAGAAAATATCCAAAGGATGCTAATAACCTGGGACCTCTGAACTGAAGCTTACCACTCTGCACAAAGCATGCCTGTCTTCATCTTTCTCAACATGTTCCGTGACTCAGTCACAATCACGGCATGTGTTAACAGCTGATTCTCAAGCAAGCGGGAGGCAGCAGAGACTGCCTCCACCTCCATTCTCAAACTAGACGTTATATCATATGCAGGGCTTTGCTGCACCAAGCGACGTTCATTTGCCTTTGCTATGAACCCCCGTGCACTTCGTCTGCCCCTCAACACAGAGCCATCTGTATAGATAATCACATCACTTGGGTGGGAATTTTCATGAAAATTTGTTGAACTTCTGATTCTGCAGCACCAGCTTTCCGGTCTCTGCACTCAGGACCTAAAGTGAATAGAACCCTACAGTCTGAAACCTGATAGGTTACTTTGACCCACTCCTCTCCTCGCTTAAGTTTATCAAGCCTGCAAACAAGTCTGATTGTGTCTTCAGGTGGCACCATCCAAGACTTTGCTCTTTTCAGTTTGTGACCCTTAGCTCTACCCAGTGCTTCATGCAGTAGATGCCTCTTGTCTGCAGCTACTCTGAGATATGACTTTGCTTTTAGAACTTTGTGCCTATCTGCAAAAGTAGGCAGTGCAAGTATATATATATCGCATACTTACTACCGGGGTATCTCTTGTAAATTCCAGAATTACCTGCATGGCTTCATTTATTCCCAGACGCTCCGTTTTTCACCTGACTCTCCGGGCTCTGGTTCTCTGATTTCTATGCCGTCTTTTCTCTCCATAACCTCGACTTCTCCTCTTTCCACTCTCTCTGTTGCCACCTAAAGATGTTATCAAGGAGAGAGCAAACACTCCTTAACTCCGTAGATTCTTTTTATTATTAAGTACAAAATCCATAGAAGGTATTCTTTCAATGCAGGAAGTTAACATTCACCCTATTGTCTGCTGGCTAGAGAAGAGGCAGGGGATGTCCTAAAGGAGTCCATACGCCTGGTGCCGCTTCACCCGCTAACCAGACGTTCCACGTTCAGGACTGTAAATCCTCCAGTCATTTAGCAAATAGGCACCTAGCTACACCTCATCTGCCTGAAAGTGAAGAACCAGCAGTCTGCATACCAATTAGCCAGATCTGTCAAATGTTCTGGAACATGACCTAAGTCCAGACGGGACAGACGGGACAGACGGGACAGATGGGACAGACGGGACAGATGGGACAGATGGGACAGATGGGACAGATGGGACAGACGGGACAGATGGGACAGACGGGACAGATGGGACAGATGGGACAGACGGGACAGATGGGACAGACGGGACAGATGGGACAGATGGGACAGATGGGACAGATGGGACAGATGGGACAGATGGGACAGACGGGACAGACGGGACAGATGGGACAGACGGGACAGACGGGACAGACGGGACAGATGGGACAGACGGGACAGATGGGACAGACGGGACAGACGGGACAGACGGGACAGACGGGACAGATGGGACAGACAACTAGGACTTTCCACAAATGCTGAACACGAAGAAGAAGAAGAGAGTGTTTGTCTGACTCGTTTCAGTATTCATCTCTAGCAACATTGTGACTCTCTGAGTCCTTGTGTTGTATTACAATACATTATTGTTTCCAAGTGGATTCCTGAAAACCTTCTGTCAGGAACAAAACATGGCCTCCCTAGGTCTGAGACAGCTGTCCGTTCAGTCTTGAAACCGCGTAATACACTTCAAAAACAAGCTGTACGCTTCGTCAGTAATAATCATGGAACAGACAATTCCGGTACATAAAGATCTTCAGTTATCACTGCGCCATAAATAACTTCTTTTTAATAAGGCCAAAGTTATTCACAAAATCATATTTAAAAATGCTCCAATTACCATTCTTCAAGTATATTGGGCAACATAGCAGACGCCTAAAGATAGTACACATCCCTAAAACTAGAATAGACTTGCACAAAACAAGCTTGGCGTACTCTGCAGCTTATCTGTGGAACCAACTTCCATAACCAATCTAAAATAACAACCCCTATATACAAATAGAAGCTTTTTGAATATTATCTCATTACAGACTAAACGCCTCCATAGAAGAATTAGTACCCAAAGCATGTTGTTGATTTCCATCAAGGTTTATTACAGTTAGTATTATAATTGTTTTAACCTGTGCATTCTTTGAGCACAAAGGTGTTGTTGATGATGTCTATTGTTATTATTATTATTATTATTATTATCAGCTAAAACCATATGTGAAGGAAAAATGTATGCATGAAGTGAGGCCAGAAGGGCAGAATGTAAGACACGCATGTGTGCCTAATTCTAAACCCGTTGAAAATAAAGTGTGTTCGTTTGTTCAGTCATTCACTGACAGTTCTTACTGTTAACACGACCATGCAATTGTTGTAGACTGATCACAGATGCCAAGGCAGCCTGGTAGAATATACTGTTCCCGTGTTGAAGAAAGATAAGATATGACTATATCCCAGGGTAAAACACAACTATATCCCAGGGTAAAACACAACTTTATCCCAGGGTAAAACACAACTTTATCCCAGGGTAAAAAACAACTATATCCCAGGGTAAGAAACAACTATATCCCAGGATAAGAAACAACTATATCCCAGGGTAAGAAACAACTATATCCCTGGGTAAGACACAACTATATCCTAGGGTAAGAAACAACTATATCCCAGGGTAAGAAACAACTATATCCCAGGGTAAGAAACAACTATAATCCCAGGGTGAGACACAAATATATCCCAAGGTAAAACACAACTATATCCTAGGGTAAGAAACGACTATATCCCAGGGTAAGAAACAACTATATCCCAGGGAAAGACACTACTATATCCTAGGGTAAGACACAACTATATCCTAGGATAAGACACAACTATATCCTATGGTAAGACACAACTATATCCTAGGGTAAGACACAACTATATCCCAGGGTAAGAAACAACTATATCCCAGGGTAAGACACAACTATATCCTGGGGTAAGACACAACTATATCCTAGGGTAAGACACAACTATATCCTAGGGTAAGACACAACTATATTCCAGTGTAAGACACAACTATATCCTAGTTTAAGACACAACTATATCCTAGTGTAAGACACAACTATATCCTAGTGTAAGACACAACTATATCCTAGTGTAAGACACAACTATATCCTAGTGTAAGACACAACTATATCCTAGGGTAAGACACAACTGTCTCCCTGGGTAGATAAGGAAAGGCTGATATGAGTGAGGTACAACTACATCCCAGGGTAGAAGAGGAAAGATGTATGATATGGTTTCATTCTAGGGTAGAAGAGGAAAGATGTATGATATGGTTTCATTCTAGGGTAGAAGAGAAAAGATGTATGATATGGTTTCATTCTAGGGTAGAAGAGGAAAGATGTATGATATGGTTTCATTCTAGGGTAGAAGAGGAAAGATGTATGATATGGTTTCATTCTAGGGTAGAAGAGGAAAGATGTATGATATGGTTTCATTCTAGGGTAGAAGAGAAAAGATGTATGATATGGTTTCATTCTAGGGTAGAAGAGAAAAGATGTATGATATGGTTTCATTCTAGGGTAGAAGAGAAAAGATGTATGATATGGTTTTCATTCTAGGGTAGAAGAGGAAAGATGTATGATATGGTTTCATTCTAGGGTAGAAGAGAAAAGATGTATGATATGGTTTCATTCTAGGGTAGAAGAGAAAAGATGTATGATATGGTTTCATTCTAGGGTAGAAGAGAAAAGATGTATGATATGGTTTCATTCTAGGGTAGAAGAGGAAAGATGTATGATATGGTTTCATTCTAGGGTAGAAGAGAAAAGATGTATGATATGGTTTCATTCTAGGGTAGAAGAGAAAAGATGTATGATATGGTTTCATTCTAGGGTAGAAGAGGAAAGATGTATGATATGGTTTCATTCTAGGGTAGAAGAGGAAAGATGTATGATATGGTTTCATTCTAGGGTAGAAGAGAAAAGATGTATGATATGGTTTCATTCTAGGGTAGAAGAGAAAAGATGTATGATATGGTTTCATTCTAGGGTAGAAGAGGAAAGATGTATGATATGGTTTCATTCTAGGGTAGAAGAGGAAAGATGTATGATATGGTTTCATTCTAGGGTAGAAGAGGAAAGATGTATGATATGGTTTCATTCTAGGGTAGAAGAGGAAAGATGTATATGGTTTCATTCTAGGGTAGAAGAGGAAAGATGTATGATATGGTTTCATTCTAGGGTAGAAGAGGAAAGATGTATGATATGGTTTCATTCTAGGGTAGAAGAGGAAAGATGTATGATACGGTTTCATCCCAGGGTAGAAGAGGAAGGATGTATTACACGGTTTCATCCAAGGTTAGAAGAGGAAAGATGTATGATACACTTTTATCCAAGGGTAGAAGAGGAAAGATGTATGGTACGGTTTCATCTTAGGGTAGAAGAGGAAAGATGTATGATACGGTTTTGTCCAAGGGTAGAAGAGGAAAGATGTATGATACGGTTTTATCCAAGGGTAGAAGAGGAAAGATGTATGATACGGTTTTATCTAAGGTTAGAAGGAGAGAGAAATGTGAGGAAGTTACAGCTACATTTCAGTAGAGAAGGACAATGCAAGGAACAAGTTTATCCCAGGTTAAGAACCTTTGTACTTTGGAAAAAAAAAATGAAAGGCAGAGCTACCTATGCATCCTAGAGCAGTTAATTAATTTAGTACTATAACTGAATTAATAAATGTTTGAATGAATGGGTGCATTGATTAGTTAATTGATAAGTTGAAGCTTCTAAGACTGATAACATTTGTCATGAAGTCAAGAGTGAGTTACATTTTGCAGACTGGCTCATTTTGTCTTTACCAGAGAGCTCTTTTTCAAGATGGCGTCCAACAGTGGCTTTGCTCTTCACCATGTCCTCCTTCAACATATCTGCTTCCACTCCACAGTCAGCAGCAGCAACAAAATATTTCACTAACACAAAATCTTCACCTGGACTTGCTACATGTCAACCACCCCGATAACAAACTGGCCCTCAGTGATGACACCTTGGATACTGTCATCTCAGCCACTGATGACAGTCCGGCAGCTGACATTCTTGAGCAGAAAAGATTCAACAGTCATTTCTACAGTCTGTGTCAAGTTGATTCACATCGAAGCTTACTGTCATCAGGAAATGACAGCAGAGAGGGACTATGTGTTACTGACCTCACTGAAATTACCAGCAGAAACAAGAATCACTTATTTGTTGATGGCAGCGGCTGCTCTCAGGACAGACTGGTCCAAAATGTCACAGTAGATAAACATGATGACACAGACATTGCTATCAGAGAATTTGAGAAAATCTCCAGGCAGATTGCTCACTTATCTCAAACAGTCAACGACCTGGGTTTAAGCTTGTCTAGTCTAAACAGTGATGACCTTGAAGCAGCCACAGGTGTGTACGACACAGTATTGTCAGCCCATCAGCCAGATCATATGTGTAGAAAGTACATCACTGATGGCTACCATTGGGCACACGATGAGTTTGCTCCCGCTGTCTGTCATGGAGAGTGTCTCCAGGGAGCTTATTATCTCAACCAAGATATCCCTTGTGATGGTGCCTCTGCTGCCTTTACTTGTCAGGATTTGATCAATGGTGAAACTTCCAGCTCAGAATTGTGCCAGACTTCATTACAAGAACATTACAACAGATTCCTCAGCACCAATTCTTCAGGACAGGATGAGATATTTGCTCAGACAATTTTCGATACTGTCAGAGAAAACCCACATGCCAAGAGAAGAAATCAGACCTCAGACAGGTCAGCAGGTGGCCGAGGTGGTGAAGTTGCAGCTTCTCCTGTAGCTGTGAAGACCAACATTTGGAAGTCAGATTTTCGCGGGACTAGCCATCAGATGAGACAAGAAGGAGGACAGGTTGGGGAAGGGCACATTGAAGGACAGCAAAACCATTCAGTCAGCGAAAAACAGGTAGATATGAACTTACTGATGTCCGTTTATTTATTTTTGTTCATTTTAGAAGCTAAATTCTATACATCTTTTAGTCAGTGAACAAGGCCAAAAAAATGAATGTTGAAAGAACGAATGCAAAGACAGCCAATGTTTGGTATCTTGATAAATTAGTAAGTATTATCTTTATCTATGGTTTGTGTTAAGACAGGTTTCTTACAGGGGGCTGCATGGTCTCGAGGCATGCTATCTGCCTCGAGTGCTGGAGGTCCAGGGTTCAAATCCTGGTGAGGGCTGGGATTTTTTCATGTGGATTTTTAGTCATTTCCCCCGGTCTCTGGGTAGTAAGACCAGACGCCCATGTGTATTATTGCTCACGTAACAAATCCCTTAGCAGTTGGAAATCGAAAAGAGTAGCCTAACCTTGCTGCCTGGGCAAAATTTAAAATTAAAAATCTACCCAAATTAGTTCGGGGTCCTTGCCGGTGCTACAGAGCCTGTGTACTGTGCTCAGATTCTTCAGACTCGGGCTTGAGTTAGAAGAAGAACAGAGCCCTTATGGGTTTCTATCCATGTGTGATGATGTTGATCCGTTGAATAAAGATAAACATAAACATTTCTTAAAGTCTGAAAATATTTGAAGATGTAGTTTCTCTGACTGAATAATCACTAACCAGTACAACCTCATTATCATGATCTGTGTCAAGTATTGTGGACAGAATTGTTTCAGTTGAACATTTGAATATCGTGGACAGATTGTTTCATTTGAACATTTGTTCAAAAATAAACTCAAACTTTAATGAACACATGGATTAAATAAAGAACTTAAAATCATTTCTTTACGACGCCAACAGTCGATGTTGACTTTTAATAAGTTCCAAACTGACCTCTTATTCAAAGACATCAGCCTTTGCTCAAACTCACCTCCTGTCTAAACTATCACTTCTTTGTTTGAAGCTCTCAGTTAACACTGATGCATAAACTGGCACCTTTCAAACCAGTGCTAAACAAACAGTGGATACACTTGTTTCCCCATTCCATTTTATTTGCCTGCTTGGTAATTATTTGTTTTAATTCTTTCCAGGGTGTGCCTAAAAATAACCTTATAACTCTTGATACCAGAATAGTTGCCCAGATATTTCTCTTATTACTTCCCTTTCTGAATTATTCTCATTTAAGTTTCATAAATCTCCTTAGGCGTCTGCTGTTTTTTTTTAATGCATTTACATTGTGTCACCTGCTTTAGTGGTAACATTCACTGGTATATGTTAAAACTGACATAACATGAGAATCTTTTAAAAACTGCAATGTCGTCAGTAAATCCTAAAATCTGTTGACCGCTTTTGCAATTTTGTGGCTCTCGTATGAGGTCTTTACCCACGGCCTACTAAAAATATCAGGAATAGATTTGCATTCTATTGGGGAAGAATAAAAATTCCTAAATTAGCATATTTCTGAGAAGATCAGTGTATTAAATGTATATATTATTCTCAGGGAAAGGAACATACAGATAATCTGGCCAGTTCAAACAATGAGAGTGATGACAGTCTGGCAAGTGACATTGGCTTGGACCATGTGATGTGCCAGAGACTTTTTGGTCGCAAAGGTAATCTTTCTTAATATACTTACATCAGCATGTAGGTTCTGTGGCCCCATGGTGGGGAAAACAAGAACCGACCCCCTGCCTTCCCAAATAGCTTGTTGTAAGAATCGACTAATTGGAGATTTCCTTCACAGTCGGAGTGCATCTGCCTGAGCAGTAGGAAAAAAACCAAATGCACACATATAAGCCAGTAAAACAGATGTACAGTGGTAAAAGAGGAAGTGAAGAAGAAGAAGAAGAAGAAGAAGAAGAAGAAAACAGATGTACACGCAAAACTCAGGCCCTAGCACAAGCCCTAATTCCGAATGAACAAATTAAAACCAGGACTTCCTCCCTGAGTTTACATTTGATGAACAAAGAAGAAAAAGAGAAAAAGAAATTACTTTATTTCCTGCTGAGCAGTGGTATCTCTGTTTATTTATCTGCCATTTTCCTTACTTCCCTGTCATGCACTGTCACTTTCAAATGTTCTTAACGATTTTATTGTATACCCCACAATGCATCTATATTGTCTTTCTTCAGTAAGTCTGTCATCTTGCTCTGAGGTACCGTGTATTTTAAACGGTTTCCATCACTTTGGGACATTAATGCAGGGACTGGCCAGCTGGTGCTGCAGAATCAGAAGTTTGACAAATGATTCATGACAATTTCTGCCCACGTGATGTGATTGTATATACATATGGCTCTGTGGTGAGGGGCAGACAAAGTACATGGGGGTTCATAACAAAGATGAATGGACATCGCTTGGTGCAACACAGGCTGGCATATGATATCACAACGTCTAGTTCGAGAATGGAGGTGGAGGCAGTCACTGCTGCCTTCCGTTGGCTTGAGAATCAGCTGTACACACATGTCATCATTGTAACTGACTCACAGAGCATGTTCAGAAAGGTGGAGACAGGCATGCTCAGTGCAGAGTGGCAAGCATCACTTTAGAGGTCCCAGGTAATTAGCATCCTTTGGATATTTTCTCCAGGTGACACCGGTGTGTTGGAAAATAAGCAGGCAGATAGACTGGCTGGTTCTGCACCACTTGGTGGTGAACTTATCTATGACAAGCGGGATGTTGTGGGGGCCCTTTGGGAGTGAGGGAACAGTGCAGAGGAACAGATAGATCATTACGGTCTGAGGAGAATAGCGCCATGAGGAGTTACAAGGGGATCTGGCCGACGCTCGACACTCGGGAAAAAGGCGAGACGGAAATACAATCAGACTATTACTGGTACCATCAGAACTTTAACTTTTCACATGCTGCTGGAGATGGGGACGAAGTGCTTATGGGGGTGTCCTGAGTGCTGTGATGTAGATTCCTAATTTAGCATTCAACATTTAACAGTTTTAAACGGTTTCCATAAAAATGAACATATAATTGTGACTTTTTGCTAAAAATACTTTATTCACTGTTGTCCTAAATCATTGCTGTTGTATTAATTGTTTTGTTTGCTGTTTTGTCATATACAGGTCATAATCTGCACATACAGTCAAGCAGAAAGAAAGCAGTCATAGATGCCACAAAATTCTTTATGAGATATGGAGATTCTGTCAAAGAGGCTCTCTCAACTGTCGACAGCATGGCAAACCTTCCTCTGACAGCATCTGGACAACACAGGTCAGAGAAAGCCCTGACAGATTTTCCAAGGGAAGTTACTTACAGGGGTTCTGTCCACGAAGTGATATCTGACAACAGAGATATGAATCTGAATGAAGGTAACTCTGAATTGCCACTTGTGATGCCAGAAGGAGAAATATATCAACTGGAGACAAGAGATGTTGGCATCGATGCTATGAGCCAGTCATTAGTTTCATGTCTAGAACCTGCGGAACAGCTACCACTTGACCTAATTAAATCATGTGACATGTTAGAACCAATCACTTCTCTTCCTGGAAATTGTGACAGCATTGCTGTAGCCAGCTTGTCATCTAATCATTGCTTAGACGAGTTTGCAAGTACATGTGCAAATTTTGATAACACTGACAAGATGAATACATCTGTAGATGATACAGAGATCGCATCTTTCGACCGTACAGTTCATGAAGGCAGCTATGTTAGGCAGCCTTGCAGACCGAATTCTTATCTCTTGCGAACACGACCAAGACAGAGAAATATGACTGATGTCTGGACAACTTCGGATTTTGCTGATGTGAAGCAGATCTCTCAGTTGAGCGAGGAAGCTCCACCAAAATTACCTCCTAGGCAACCGATCAGGCCTCAGCCAGGGTTTGATCATGATATACCTCCTCTACCTCCTCCACCAGTTTGCCTTGACAATGAAACCAGACACCTTCCATACAGCCAGCGTCACTATGGTAACTACCAGAGGCAGCAAACACAGCATTTTCCTTATGTTAATCAGTTTATTCCATCAGTAGAAGTTCAGAATTCTGAGATCTTTAAAGCCAGATTGTTCAGTGAGTCTCACAACTTTGATGATTCAGAATTCAGTCCCTTGACTCCTGTGCCACCTTTGCCACCACGACTGCCTCACATGATCCAGAAACTTCCAGCCAGATTTCAAGAAAATGTGCAACCAAAAAGACATTATCGGTTGGTGAAAAGACTTGATGAAAGGCCTCAGTCATTGAACCAATACCTCCCTGAAAATAGCTCCAACTCATATTCACCACTATCCTCTCACTTATCGTCATTAGCAACCTACCCAGGCCCAAAGCATCATTCATATAAACGCCATCATTTAAAGAAAACGTCTTCCATGGATAAACCAAAGGAGGACAGCTCAAGCTCCAGAATTCCCCGTCGCCGACAGAGAGCCAGAGTTGACAGGTCCAAGTCCAAACTGGGTGCAGAAATACAGTCGCTAGAAGCAGCAGACAAACTGGCACCTACAGGTGGGAGAGGCCAGTGTAAACAATGGAGGGATATTGATGTGGTCAATGGGCTACCTTTGAGTGATTCCTCCTGTGAAGACAACAATTCTAATTGACCTGAAGTGTTGACCCAGAACCCCAAGATTGACACATACATTGTTGTTGCTTCCTCACCCTGCAAATGCTCAAGAACATTAACTCACGCCTGGCTGTATGCTTTACAAAATGGCTGCTAGTTGGTTTTATAACCAACCTCAGTTTCTGCACATGCCTAACGTTGTTTATAGTTTCACTGTAGCTTGCAAATTCATGAAGTTTTCAAAACATTACCAATTTAAGCTTCAATAAATCAAGGGCTTACAGTGGTCCAATCCCCCTCCCCCACCCCTGATCTTGAATTGTAGTGGGGATGCTGCAGGCGCCTACTCTCTCAGATTCCGCTACCCCTGGGGTCAGGGTCAAGGTCTGATGTACAATAATGGTAATATGTATTTTGTTTTTGGAATTAAATATGACATTTTATTTAGGTGCAAGTGGGCACTGTAACTACAGGATCTCAAGTACTCAGGAGCATTCACTCACACGCAGAAGTGCACATGCACAATGACGATGTGGGCCGGCACTCAGATGAGCACTTTTGGTTGGTACTCACTTATTAGGTCTGCATTCAGTAAATAAAATGGTATATAAAATATAAAGTCGGTTTCCATTAGGTAAATAAAATGGTATATAAAATATAAAGTCGGTTTCCATTAGGTAAATAAAATGGTATCTAAAAATATGAAGTCGGTTTCCATTAGGTAAATAAAATGGTATACAAAATATGAAGTCGGTTTCCATTAGGTAAATAAAATGGTATATAAAATATGAAGCCGGTTTCTATTAATTAAACGAAATGGTATATAAAATATAAAGAAACAAACTGAACAGTCTTCATTTGACTAAAAAAATTTAAAATATTACAAAGAAAAGAATTTTTTTTGTTGTCATGTACAATTTTCCCTGGCTTCCCAAAGCAACAGTTTTGAGCGATACCAAGCAATGAACCCAAGTGACCTCTATACAATCATCCCTGCTCTATCAAATGTGAAATGCCCACCAGCTGAAAGTCAGGCTTCATGAGACTGACTTCCCCTGACTGATGTGTTTAAACTTTCCCATATGTTTGTGCAGAAAGTAGTGTAGAAATGTATTATTTTTCACTTGATTTTGCCGGCAGTTGATGCAAACTGATATTAATGTTGTAGAATTGTGTCATTTGATTTGGCTAGTAAATGTTAACAATGATAAACCAAACAATTGTTCTGGTACAGATGCCACTGTTGATTTAGCCTGTAGACAAGTACATGGATAAATAAATTATTATTCTTATGTACTTTCTGTTATTTAGTTTTGTGAGAACAATCTGTGAAGCAAAAAATCTTTAATTGTAAAATCCCCTATGTTGTTTAGCTATGTCAGCACAAACTGTGAAACAAGCAGGTTTACTAGCTGTTTAGTTCTGCTGGCATAGATGGTTAAGAACACAAACTGTGAAACAAGCAGGTTTACTAGCTGTTTAGTTCTGCTGGCATAGATGGTTAAGAACACAAACTGTGAAACAAGCAGGTTTACTAGCAGTTTAGTTCTGCTGGCATAGATGGTTAAGAACACAAACTGTGAAACAAGCAGTTTGTCTATTGTCAAGTAGATTGTCCCATGTTTTTTACTTATGTGAACACAAACTGTGAAACAAGCAATTTGTCTATTGTCTAGTAGAATGTCTTATGTTGTTTTTGATCAGAGGCTTTCACATGCTGCCATATACACTTTCATTTGAACAAATATAATCTAGCAACTGATGTTGCTAGACATTGTTTTCTGTCCCCTAACACATCAACAGATGGTGTGGCTTATGATACAGCCTTGCTTGTGGTTTCCCTCATATCTTTCCTGGCTTCCAGCACTCTTTGACTCTAAATATACTGAACAAAGAGGACTCTAATCATGCTGATCAGAAAGAGCTTTTGATTATAAACAAACTGAACAAAGAGGACTTTTAAAATGCTGAGTAGAAAGAGCTTTGACTCTGAGTACCAAGGAATTTATCACAACTATTTGGTTTGCATTGCAGTTTGTCCCTCCAGGATTATACTTTGTTCCATCCAGAATTGCAGTTTATTCACTCCAGAATTACA